TTATTTACAGATTATAAATGATATCTAATCATCCCAGGCTTGTAAATAAATTACCATGATGCTATGGTGGGCCATAAGTAGTTCTGTATAAACTAGATACTCAATCAAGTAAATAGTATTTCAATGCTACATCCCATTTCATAAATCCAATTTTTAATTAAACTTTCTTTTCCTTAAGTATAAGCACAAATGTGGTAGTAAGGTAATATATGTAATTTTTTGTGAATTAATAGAGAAATAAAACAAAATTTCTGCTGTGTATATTTAAGACGGGGCAAAAACAAAACAAAACAATCACTTACAGAAAATCATAATCACCAAATCTTTTACATGCTAGAATCTCAATTAGGCAGACACATGAATTGCCATAAAACACATGCACCAAAACATATACAAAAGTGGAGAGTAATTAAACTATAAAGAATAGAGCATACATCAGTATTGTGAAAGTATGAGTCTTGATTGGCAAGAGTAGGGGGGTTTTTGGTCAAGAGAAAAGTTAATAAAAATGGGAGCTATGGTTGAAAAAAAGTTTCAAGAACATCACTGGCTTTCCTGTCCGTATGGGTATTTCCTTGCCAATCTCACTGATTATTTGCTCTGTTAACGGCTTCATGAAATTAAAACATCTATGCTGTCTCTTCAAAGAAGGTGACTGGATACCACTTTTAACCAGAAAAAATATTAACATTGACTGTAATTACTTTGGATAATTTCAGTAACAGTAGATGGTCTCTGTAAGTAGAAATCCATTTATGTTCATTTATTAGAATTCTATCCACTTTAAAAGCTACTGGAGCTAAGCTGACTAGACAAAAGCTTTCATTAATCATCTCTGACATCCAAGTAAACCGAAACATGTGAACAGGCAATGGCTTTGAGTTTTTATACAGCCTCAATTATGTGTTAGTCAACCCAAGCATCCATTATGTACTCAATAATAGGTATGACACAGCTCTGCACATCAGCAACACCATAAGCAGCCAGGCACAGGCAGCCTGCCTATACTGCTTTTCCTGGTGTCGACATTCTTAAGAAGCATGGGAAACAGAATAGTAATGAGACGGTGTGTTCCTTATTAGAAGCTCATAGTCGCACTCTACTAGATAGATCTCTTCATCTCTATGTGTCGTATTAACAGCCAGACTGCAGAATAACACTGTTTTGAGAAATGACAACATTTTAGAGGGAAAGGAAATGTATGATGTCAGCGTGGGGACAAATTTCTAATCGCCAGTGACTGTTGTGAACATAATTTCCTGAACATAAAAACCTCTATTGAGGGCAGCTACAGTTGTAAAGAAACCATGGCCTTGAAACTTTAAAACTGCACTGGTGTACATCGTAACGCAACAAAGTAAACATGAGAAGAACTTAGGACATTGTTTAAAAAAACAGCCGAGGAAGCAACTGATCTTTTGGAAGGCACGCGGTTGCTTATTAGGAAGCATTTCTAGAGTCCCGTGCATTTTCAAAGCCGGTTACAGTCATTAGCACAGCACACCCTTGTGAGGTAAGTGTATCACCACCTTAGGTTCATAAATGAAAAAGCTGAAGCACTGAACGATTAAGTCACTCGCCTAAGGAGAGTGAGTCAACGTCAAGAGTCACAGTCGACCCGGCCTAACGACTCCTGACCGTCAGTCCAGGGCTTAGTCAGCGGGGCCCACAGTGGCATCCCTGGCTGGCACCTGGACTAAAGCTATTTCCGTTCACCTTAAAGCAGAATATTGGAACCGACTGGACAGAACTTCCAAATAATTTTGACTTCCACGCAAGATTTAGCCCTGAGGTCTCATTCTCAGGATTTGGCACAGGGAAAGCTGTCGGGCCCACTCCGCCCGCCTCCAGCCCGTGGCAAGTGGGTGCTGTGGGCGGCCCCGCCCACCCCTTTTCTCAGTGATGGCAACGAGCGACCACCAGCGTTAGCGGAGCCGGGGGACGGGGGAGGGTTCATTGCTTAAACGACTCTCCATCGCCGCCTTTTTTTGAAACGAAGAGAAAATGGTAGGAGCGCAAAAGAAAACTAAATAAACACGCAAGCAACTCGTTCTAGGACCTCAACTAAGCAAATGAAGCCTTACTGTGCGTGCTGAGCCTGCAGTTCCCAACCTTCCGCGGAAGATGGGAGGACAGGGCGACAAAGGGCACAGCAGGCATGCCTGGCAGTAAGTGCGACCGCAGCTCTACAGGCGGAATAGCAAAGGACTAAAAACCACCCTCCAGCACGCGAGTGTCCGCGACGCTGAGAGCCGCGCACCCTACCCATCCACCACGTGACCAGTTTTTAAAAAACTTCTTTGCCTTAAAAAAAAAAAAAAAAAAGGAGAGACTCCACTTCCCAGAAGCCTCTCGTCCCCCACGCAGCCGCAGTCTTGCGCAGGCGCCGCCAGGGCCAAACGGACACGTCCGTCACGTGGACAGTAGCCGGCCAATCCGGTTTGAATCTCATTTTTTTCCTCTCACCCCCCCCTTCAGGAGCGGTTGTGCGATCAGATCGATCTAAGATGGCGACTGTGGAACCGGTGAGTATTGCCTTTGGCCCCCACCCCCACCGGTCCCCGCGCTCCGTCTCCCTTCGGACCCGGGGACCCCGCGGGACGGCGTTCCCAGCGCGCACTCTACCCGTGGCCGCCCCCTCCCCCTCGTCTTGGACCTGACCTCCCGCGGGCAACTGGGGGCGTCCCGGAGTCTGGCCGAGGCGGCGTGTAGCTCACACGTTCTGGTGGGGGCCCGAGGGCCGGGGGAGCGGTGTGGGGGAGGGGCGGCGTGGCGCCTCCTGCGGAGCGGCGAGGTGTCTGCAGGGTGGGAGGGGATCCGGCTGTGGGCTCGGGGCGTGGGGATCGCGTCTTCTTGCCGGGAGGGCGCGGGGCCGGCCTGAGCGGGCGCCGGGATCCGCAGGGCGGGTGGGCGGCGAGCCGGCCTGGAATGAGATGGAGGAGGGAGCCTCGGGGCAGCCTTTCCCTCCCTCCCTTCCTGCGGAGGTCCGGCCCGGGGACGCGGCTGCGGGGCGCGCGCGGGTCTTCATTGGACCGGTGGGCTGGGGAGCCGGTGGGCGCGTGTTGCCGGAGGTGGCGGGGCGGGAGTGGTGCTGCGGCACGCGCGGAAAAGCTCCGACCTCGCCGCGGGGAGCTGCGAGGGGCCGGCGCGTGTTACTCCGGCGCCCGCAGAGTTGCCGGGCTTGGCTGCAGGGGAGGCGAGGACGGTTTGGGGTGGGGAGGAGAACTGCGCGTTGCGCGGCGAAAGCTCTCGGAGCAGGATGCGGGGTGGTGGTGGCGGTGAGAAGGGGGATCACATTGTCCTCGCCCCGGCGTGCTTGGGACTGGCTGTCATGGAGGAGGGAAGGGGGAGGAGCGAGGCCTACCGATCGCGGCTGCCGGCCTGGTGCCGGCCGGACCTGCTGCGTGTCTCGCGCGCCCGTCTCCCATTCATTCATCCTTCCGCGCAGCGCGCACCTCGGAGAACGCGAGCAGGCCCAGAGCCGACTGTTCTTCCGAGTCTTTTATTTTCTGCGAGATTCCCAAGACGAAGTTTACTGGAAATAGAAAGTTTACTTTTAAAATTGTTTCCATTTGATTTTTTTCCTCTTTATCCGTGCTACAGGCTCTCCTCTCAATGTAGGTAGGCACCATTTTAAACTTAAGGGAAGCAAGCTGATCCCGGGGCAAAAAGGTGGTAGTTACACCTAAAGCAGAGGCTGTCTTCGTCATGATTTGGATTTGCTGGCACCGGCTCACTGAAATATCTGGGCCTTTGCTGCCTTTTTAGGACTGACACACCTAAGTGGCAGTGTCTTGGGTGCATAATGGAGTTTATTAGCAAGAAGAAAACCTTTGACACTCTGGAACCAGTTCTAGACCTTGGTTGTCGGATATTTTTGTGTATCTTTTCACGGTAACTTGTGGTTTTGCTAGTGGTTTACCAATTTGCCTTGACTATTAAAGACTTTTGTAACTATCCCAAAAACTCTCTCATAGACTACAAAAAGGCTTATTTTTCATTACATTGATGTAAACTATTCTTACTTTGTTGCCAGAATTTAAGGCAGTTTTTCTGCTTGATTACTTGTTCTTTTATTGGCAACCAGTTTTCATTTGTGTTCCTGAGAATTAGACTGACTGCAGAACTGTCTCTTAAGTTGCTGATACAATTAACTGACTTAAGAACATTAATGTAACATAACATTAAAGATAAATACTTAAATGTAACACCGTTTTGACAGGTTCACTTTTGACTGGATTTGCTCCTACCCACCGTACCAGTGTCAGTAAAAAGCATTATGGCTGTTAACAGGAGCACAGCTAAAAATCTCTAAACAATAAAACAATAGTGAATTCCATGAAGTTTCAGTAACATTTAGGTCCCTTGGATTTTACAGAGCTATGCAGTTTTATTTTGACAGCACAGAACAGAGCTACAAAGTTGTGAAGGACTATTTTGAGTCAGTAAATATTTATAGCCCCTGATATGTTTAGGACGTTGAACCAAGTGTTCTTTGGGGTACAAAGTTAAACAAGATGTTGATTCTATACCTTGTTGAAATGTAAACTCTTAAGGAGCTTAATTCACAGTGATGTGGTCAGCGATACAGTGTTTATTCTAGCGCTAACTTGGGGAGATTTGGGTAGTGCATTTAAATTTGGGGAGTAGGGGAACCTAAAAACCTAAAGTGTATGAAGATGGGAACCTGGATAGAAACTATAATAGTTTGGGGATGTATGTAAAATAGTATTGGAGTATTCATTTTTAGTGAGAAATGCACATTTTTGGTACTTTTAATGTACTCTTGTGTCTACAGACTAGTTATGTAGGATTCTTTTTGACAGTTTTAAATAGTTGGATTTTTTTTTTTTTAAGCAACTGATTAAGATTGGATTGCAGTGAAGTACAAGAAGCTTCAAAGGGAAAATTAAGGGAAGCATTTTATCTCTTTACAGGTAATATGGCAAAATTTTGAACACTGGGACAGAATACTCTGCTGTGTGAATTGTGGCTAGGTCAAAATTAGACTTACCGTTAGGTCAGTGAAAATGGCAAGGCAGCTTTCCCAGCCATCTTACCTCCAGTGGGTCATGTTTCTTTGCAGCTTTCTCTTCCTTCTGCATTCTTCACTGTTAGACCTTTTTTTAAAAACTAATTTGTTCTTTTCAACGTAGGAGATTAATTTTGGTTACTTCAGTTAAACTGAAGGTATGTAATTTTACTTGTTTTTACATTGTATTTCTTAAATTTTTTAAACTACATTAATTTCATAAGTGAATCAACTTGGACAATCAGCCGACCTAATGTTTCCTTTTTTATACTTTAGAAAGATGCTTGGTAGTGCATAGGGTTTATTAAGAGTAAATAAGGCTTAGCTGGGTGCAGTGGGGTGTGCCTATAGACCCAGCTACTTGGGAGGCTGAGGCGGGAAAGTCACTTGAGTCTAGGAGTTTGAGGCCAGCCAGGCAACATGGCAAGACCTGTCTCTTTAAAAAAGAAAAAGAGCAAATAAGGGTTAAATAAATACTGATAAATATATGTTGTGTTACATAATTCATCGTATTTGTTAATGAAGAACTGTTGAATGACAGGTCAACTTTGCAGATGATCATAAGTTTTTTTGCTTTAATGAAAGAACCCAATATATCAAAGTTCATTACTAAATCAAATATATTTGGCTTTGGTGTTTATATTCAAAATTTCACTTCATTTTATAATCTGAATTCAGTGTAGACACAGACACAGTTTACACACAAGTTGCAAAGAATAATTTGTAAAATGGATTATGTAATCTTAATCCAATTTGCTTAGATTTTTTTTTGTGGGCAAAAAAGCTTTCATAAAATATTGTTTGATTTATATAAGGTTAAGAATATAATAGAAGGACCAGCATCCTTTAACAAGGGGCCTTTGAAATAGTTGTTCTAGCAATGGTAATTTCTACTTTTCTTCTGCTACCACTGGAAATTTCATTAATCTGTTGGTACCAGGGAGTTGCACCATCTTGGTCAGAGACTTTTGAGAAGTGGAAATGATCGTGGGTTGTAGTCGCATTTTAATATCTGTGGGACCTGTAAGACTGAAATTTCCAATGCTAGCTGAAAATGGGAATAAGAAGATCTTACAGTGATTTTGATTTTCAAATGCGGTATTCAAAGATGACAGTTTGTCAGTTATGAAGAACTGAAGTGATTAACTCCATTGACAGTGTTGCATGCAGGTATATCCATACATGTACCCACCTTTTTCTCTCTTTGCTAGGAAATTCAGTAGCTGCCTTTTGCTTATCAATCCTTGTTCATCAACAAGAGATGCATAGCCTTTGTATGACCCACTGCTCTCAGATCCTTTTCCCATTCCTATCCCTACCGTAAAAATCACTGTTTCTTCAAAAGTCCTTAGTCATGTGTGGAGAAAAAGGATTATTTTTGTCTCTAAAATACTGGTAGTCATTTTTAGACATTTCCAGAACCTGAGAATATAGTCAGAAATCTAAAATTTTTTTCTCAGTTGGAATTTTTGATACATTATTCCATAGAAGCAGTGGGAAGCTGAAGTTTAGTCACACTATGTTCAGTAAGTTTCTGTGGAATCATGACAAATCTAACCAGTATTGGATTTCTAGGAGTATGGATTTATAGTTTTAAGCAACTGACTAAAAAAAAAAAAAAAAAATGACCTCATAAACACAACCTGTTAGAAACAGCTATTTTAATGTAGGCAGATCTTTATTTCTTAATAATTGCTACACATGGCATTTACTGTATGTCAGGCACTGCACTAAGTGCTTTACATATATTAATTCATTTAATCCTTACAGCGGCCCTATGAGGTAGGAGGTATTATTTCACAGATGAGGAAACCAAGGCACAGAGATGGAGTAACTTTGTGTGACTAACTTGCCCCAAATCACACAGCTAATAAGTGGTGGGGTGGAGTTAAAATTAAAGCAGCCAAATTGCAGAGTGTATGTTTTTAACCATGACACTGTCTTTCCAGTAGGCAAGCAGTGTGCTTTGCTTGGGTGACTTCAGAAGGGGAGATTAATTTTCATAAACTTAACTAGGTATTTTGCTACAACTATAAAATAAAATGTGTGGACATTTGTTTTTAGGCCCTGTTGGATAACAAAAGTATAGAATCATAAGAAAATAGTGCCTTGGTGTCTGAAGCTGAGGACTAAAGAAGCAATTGTATTGATCATATTTTAATAACTGGTCTAGAACTTTGTGGGTAGATTTCTAAAGAAGGTGAATGACCACTTCCCTTCTCTTTTCTCATTTGATTTCTGTCATTTGCCAGTTGGAATGATTTGCCAGTTAAAATATTTTGCAAATAAAAAAAGTTTTAGTAAATTTTTTTTTTTTTTTTTTTTTTCAGAGTCTCTCTCTCTCTCTCTCTCTCTCTCCCTCTCTCTCTCTCTCTCTCTCTCTCTCTCTATATATATATATATATATATATATACTTTTAGTTGCCCAGCTAATTTTTTTACTATTTTTAGTGGAGACAGAGTCTCACTCTTGCTCAGGCTGGTCTCGAACTC